GTGTCAGAATACCAGTAGAAAAGGGTGTAAGACAAGAGGATACAATCTCCCCTATGCTATTTACTTCGCGTTTACCGGAGGTTTTCAGAGGCCTAAAATGGGAAGAGTTAGGCGTAGGAGTTAATGGAGAGTATTTTAGCAACTGGCACTGTGCTGATGACATTCCATTGCTGAGTAACTTATGAGATGAATTGCAATTCATGATTTATGAACTAGACAAGAAGAGCAGAAAGGTATGTTTTAAAATTAATCTGCAGAAAATGAAAGTAATGTACAACAACCTTGGAAGAGAACAGCACTTTGAGATGGGTAGCAGTGCACTTGAAATTGTAAAAAAGCACGTCTACTTAAGACTGTTAGTAATAAAAAAGCCGAACCATGAGACTGAAGTAACTATAAGAATAAGAAAAAGGTGGAGCACATTCGGCAAGCATTCTTAGATCATGAATGGTAGATTACCATTATCTCTTATGGGGAGGCTACCATCAGATACCAACTTTTCTGTTTATCGAGATATCTTAATGAAATTTTCAGGATAGACTAATAGCAAAAGCATTAGTACTACAAAATTTCATGAAGTTATGTTCACTGGTTCTCCAGTTATGGCAGTATGTCAGAATAGTGCACATGGTTCCCTTATTCCACGCCTGGAGAACTTTCAAAAGATGCTGGAACTGTGAAATTAACAATGATGATTCCATAGGCGTATCAACCAGGGGCGAGGGTTAAGGGGGCGCTTGAGACCCCTCCCCCACTGAGAAAGGTTGGAAGGGCTGAGCCCCCCTCCCCTCAAGTTTCGACAGTCGGTGGTCACTCTTGGCTGCACGCTGGAAAAACCAAGTAAGGCATAGTTTTCCATCACAACAGGAATCACTGAATTATGTTCTTACGGGAGAATGAAATTGTTGGTAGGCTATGTTACAACATAGTGAAATTTTGCCACCATTGTCGCTGTGATGATTTTCTTTGTAGGCTCTTATATATATGTGTGCGTGTGCGTGTGTGTGTGTGTGTGTGTGTGTGTGTGTGTGTGTGCGCGTGTGTGCATGTGTGCATGTGTGTGTGTGTGTGTGTCCCGACTCATGAGTGAGGTAGGTTAGCCCCCCACTCGCGAAAGAGTTGGTACGCCAGTGGATGATTCTCATATTGATGCCTGAGGGGGTACTAGAGCTCTTTTTTTTTTTCTTACTGGACAGTTTTAGCAGATCATCAAATTTATGGTTGGTGATTGGGATATTATTCATCAAATTTTGGTTAGGCATCATAAATAACAGACACAATTTATTAAAAAAATGGGCTTGTCTCCCCTTTAAAATTTTTTTCACGTACATAATAAAAAAAAAACTTGTGTAAATAGGATGAGTGGTTCCCCAGATATGGCTGGAACAAGCAGCCTCACTAGCTAAAAGTCATTTTGAGAAAATGACATTTGAAAGTTTTGGGCACAGATGCAAATCTAAAACAACCCTGCAGCATAACTGGAGGTGCCCTTTGGCACTCTTTTCCTTCCCCGCCTTTATGTCTCCTCCAAGGATCTCTTGTTAGTCTTTTTCAGGCACAATGAATCCTTCTTGGCTTCCTGTTGAATTGCCAGGTGGCCAGGTGTTAGCCCCACCTGGGTGGTCCTGTAGCAGCCGGCATTGTATTGTAGCACTGTCTCATGCAATGCTGTCTCCACAGCAATCAGTGATGCATGCTACTCCTTAGGCATCAGGCACCATAGCACTGAGTGAAAGGCCTCTGATGGATTCTGCGTCTTAGCTCCCTAGCAGCGCCGCATAAGAGAAGCCTGTAAGAGCCGTTCATAAATAGACAATCTGCTAATAGCGTGGCAGATTGTACGGATGCTTTGGAGGTGGAACGCCGTTAATCTTGCTGGCATTGTGACGACACCAAGAGTCTGCACTCTCTGGGCACAAGTCTTGGTGGGGCTCCTTGTCCGTTAATGTCACGTGGTGGTACGATGCCGTCACTGCCCACCGCGTTGCAACCACATCATCGGAGTTACTCCCTAAGGCCCAGCCATAGCCAGTCAACTTGTCGATGAGGGCCTTTGTCAGCACGGCCTTCCCTCCCAAGGCCTTGTCACTTTTCTGCACAAGGTTTCGAAGTGCTGTCCCCATCCTCTTCTGCATGTGGTTCAGGCATTCCTCTTTTGAAATAGAGACCATACAAGGGCAGAGAAGGTGGCAGTATCTCCATCAGACAAGAGCGTTATAACGGAGATTGTGCTTTGAGAGTGAGCGTGAAAAGATAACTGCCTCAACCTCCATTCTCCCCGATTTAGAGCCGATGTTTTTCTGGCACACATGATTCTCCAGCCAGCATGCATAGTCTGCGTCTCCAGGCTTTGGCCCTACTTTGCAACCAAAGCACTGGTTAGACAGAACAACAGCGTCCAAGATGAGGCCCGTATGATATTCAATTACTGTCCCAACTCCAATATGGGATGTGGGTTCACGCTTCTGCCACGTTCCATCATAACTCATTGTTATATCATTAGGGAAAGATTCATCCATTTCTTTGTAAGTGGCTTTTACCGCAGAAGCAGATTGTGCATAGAAATTTTCTATGCCTTGTGTCTGCGGTACCCTGAACTTGCTTCAGGTGTTTCTGGAAAGTCTTGTGATAGATGCCATGATGGGACACGTTCATTGCTGCCCAAAAGTCGTTGAGAGCTGTTTGCTCCTTGCCTATCAGTTTTGTTGCCATCATGGCTCTAACATTCACATTAAAAGGCCTTGAGTCATCCTGACGAGCAGAACTCCACGAACTTTCAACTACTCCACAATGCAAGCATACCAGCTCAAGCTTTGTAGCGTCCAAGCTTGGTGCCTCCTCGTACCTTCAACCCAGTCTCGGGGCACCGCTGGCCCGGGGTTCGAGATAGAAGGTTGTCTAGGCATATCATTTGCACAAGAAATTCTTGACCTTCACTTGTTGTGCTGGCAGCTTCATGATTGCACTTCATTGCCTGAAATTTCCGCTCTGTTGCTAGCATAGCGCCGAGTTTTTTTTAAAACAGCAGCGCATTGTTGATCCGCCACCTTTTTCTTTTTGCGCGTCAGAAAACGTGTTCGCAAGTGCACAGTTGACACGATCGCACTCTTGGAGGCTGATGAAAGAGTGGATGTGGAATCCTCTATCGATGAGGACGAGACACCAGGCGCACTTGCAACACCAAATTTTTGCACTGATTGAGCAGGAGTCCTGTGTCTAGGCATGTCGATGCAACCACACTCTTGCGTAGATATAACAAAGGCTGCCCTACACTGTTGGCGCACGTGCGAGCGGAGAGCCTCGCCATGCAGACAAGCTTCATATATCGCTTCCTTGCACCAAACAGTTTTTGCGTTTTCCTTTTCGTTGGACGCATTGTGAGAAAATGCAACAAGAGTCTCATAAAGACAGTTGAAAATTGTCAGTTTGAAAATAGTTTCGTAAAAACGTTTGAAACGCGAATGGTCTGTGAACGGCTGCAATGATCGACGATAGCGAGCGGAACTAAAAGAAAATGCCGGGGACAGAGAAGCAGTAGACAACAGAAAGCCGCATTATGTTCAAGAGTACTATGCCATCGCACACAACAGCCAATTGCAGTCGCAAGGTCCCTCTTGTCCTTGAGGAGCGTGAGCATCGCCCAATCCCGGTGGCCTGTCTCTGCTGCGGGAAACTTAAAAGGTTTTCACTACACCTCCAATCATGTGCAACTTGCTCCTCTCCTGTGCTGCCGCCGTCACCGTGGGTGGTGAGAAAAGAAAGTGTAAGAAGTCACAAACAAAATAACACCAAAATAGAGGATCTCTGTCAAGCGCTCGAGAAACTGCGATCGCGCCAATTTAGGCTATTTTGAGCACTCTCGTATCACTCGAGGGCTGCGGCGGCTTGTTGTAAACTTTATTTAAAACAGTTTTGTGATGAGTTAGTTAATATTTACAGAAAAGTTGTTTATGACACGTGCTGCCTAAATATGTGGCTTTCCAAAAGTAGACTTTTTCTCGATTTTTTTATTTTCAAAGGCTGCCACTTTCCGGCACTAACCTGTGGAGCAGAAACCTGGAGGGTTACAAAAAGGGTTCAGCCTAAGTTTGGGATGACGCAACGAGCAATGGAAAGGAAAGTTACAGGTGTAACTCTAAGCGACAAGAAAAGAGCCGAGTGTATTGGGGAACAAACAGGTGTTGAGGACGTCATAGTCCAAATCAAGAAGAGATGGTCATGGGTAGGGCGTAGTCCAAATCAAGAAGAGATGGTCATGGGTAAGGCGTGTAGCTCGAAGGCAAGATAACAATTGGTTTTTAAGGATCACAGACTGGATTCCAAGAGAAGGCAAGGTGGTTTGCTTTATCAACGTCCATGTGCCTACATACTGCGCATCGGCAATACATACCAGGACAGAAGAAACATTCATGCAGCTATATACGGGTCTCTATTTTTCCTACTGTAGAAGTGGGCTGAGTGGTATCGACGCAGCACACACATATCAATGGAGGCATGTCGGCCTGCACTTTCACAAAAATTCGAGCCAGAAATCGGAAAAGGTTGACGAGGGAATCTCCATTGACACACATCACTGTCTCTTGGTCGCTGTAAGCATAAGTGCAGTCCCAGTGCAGAGATTCTCTCCATTTTCAAGAGATTTCCTGGGAGGATAACCTTCAAAGTTGTTTTTTATCTAAACCACAATGCAGCATTTCTGGTGCAATGACTGCACGAGCTGTTTTCTAAAATTAAGCACGGGAATAGCACGCGCGTACTCTCTCGCCGCGGTTCACTGCGGCAGATGCACACTGAAAGCAATATTGGGATATTTACAACTGTGAATACAGCCCCAAGTTATAAGTGTTGAAGTCTCCCGAAAATAGTTATATGTAGACTTATAGGGCTTCACATTATTTCTGGAGCATATAGAAGTGCTAGTGTATGAGGCCTTTAGTGTCTTGAAGGAGCTTGTGAGTGTGCAGATATTAACTAATTGTTATATTGTTCCTCTCTTACAGTGCCATTTGATCCGGATTCTGTTTATGAATCATGCATTTCATCATCGGGGTCGAGTTCAGACCTGGTGTATGAAAGTGCAGTTGAAGTATTGCCTTCGAATGCAACTCCAGAGCCTGGGTGGGTGACGCCTGTCTCCAGTGCTGTGCTTGCTGCCCCTGATTCTTTGGTTCCTGATTCCATCAAGTTGGTTCCGGAGGCATCCATTCCCAACTCAAAAACAGCCGCTGCTCTGTCTGAGAAGCAGAAGATGACAGCCTTAAAAAAAACCAAGGTCCTAATTATGGTTGATCCTGATGCCTCCGATTCTGTGCTGGAGAAGCCAAAGAAGACGTCCTCAAAAGAAGCTGATCCTGACACTCTGATTGCTCCGTCTTCAACAGCTGCTGAAAAGGGTAAGATTACTTCTTCTAAGAGAATCTGAAGTCCTGCTCAAACAGCTTCTTAAAGTGGTTCTATGTGCTGACACTGCCATCCCAGATGCTTCCGCTTCTGTCGCAAAGAAGCAAGATGTTACTTCCGGCAGAGGAACTCGGGTCTGGATTAAGGGTCTACCTAAAGGAACAACTCCAGAGCTCATCTACTACAACACAGCCTCATTTGCTTCCATCGATGATGTGATCATCACTGCTGATGAGCATGGAGCATCAGCAGAAATAGCGTGAGTTTATCAAGGTTGCCTCATATGGTTTTTGCTCAATATCTGGCCGAAGTAGTACCAACCCCCCCCCCCCCCCCCCTTTTTTTTTCAGACTTTACTAATACCATTTACCATTCTGCACACTTCTATAATCAGTAGTGGAGTTTGTGCTCTGTTTGCAGCACCCTGCTCCACTACCCCTGTGTGAGTAGAAGTAAAAACCCAGCTAATGATATAGACTGGTAATTAAGAGGTGAATTTTCATTACCTGATTTGTGCATCAAGAGCACCTTCCCAATTGTCCAGTCAGTAGGCAAAATACCAGTGTTGAGAGTCTGCTAAAAAACCTTAGAAAGCAGTATAGAACAGTAAGTTCTAGCACCTTCCAGTTATTTTTAGTTAATGAATGCATGGGCTGGAACATTATTTCAGCATGTCGATTATTAGATGCGAAGCAGCTCTTTGGCTAGCCTGTGTAATGCTGTCCCTCCGTACACCCCCACTGCGCATGTTGGCGTCTAGTGCCGCATGCTCACATCTCTCGCCGGTCCAGAAAGACACGCGCAAAACTGTCGCTCCCCTCCCCCTTTTTCATCTCGCATGGCCGGCACAGGCAGTGTCTGCTAGTAAATAATTGACTGCTCGCGCCCCACAACCATTCACTGGCCATCAGTATATGTAGGCAATGGATGGCGCATGCGACATTCAGTCAAGGGAGTCTTTATTTCGCTTTCGCTTGATAAGCGCCAGCATCAACGTCGCCGCCAGTGTACGTGTTCGCACCCGCTGCTTCGCATCTACACATTGTTTTTTTTAGCGGGAGATTGTCCAAGATGTTTTTTTCTATGCTGTAAGGTACGACTATTATAGGGTTTAAAGTGAAATATTTGTTATGTGTTTTTGGAAAAGTGGTGTTGGTAAATTGAACAAAATTTCTGCAGGAAGTGGAGTTCAATACTGTTGGGCATTCTGCATCTGTTGTAGCCAAACCATTATTGCTTATTAAGTAATAATATCTGAAGGATCGGGTTCATAACTCATTTAACGTTTTGGTATCAGTGGTAAGAATGTTAGGCAGAGTACTTTCAAGAAAGTTGTGTATATCACTTGCAAGGGTAGATACGTAAGTGTAATTGGTATTACGCTAGGCTTCCTACCTTTCATTAGTACCAGATATTTTAGCAGAGCCGTAAAAATGTTTCTTTCTGTTAGACAACCTTTTAAGGTATAAGTTGTACCATGGTGCTCGTGAGATTGAGATTTTTCATAGCTTTATATGCTTGTTCGTCATTTCCTTAAGTTTATCTGCGGAAAGATTTTAGTTTACTCTTACTGAGTGATTATCGAAACCGTCAGTGAAAAAATAAAGAAACTTGGCAAGCTCCAGGTTTATGCTATCGAAGTTAGCTTTCTTGTAGTGACGGATGTGTTCACGGAAGTGACTTTATTTGAGCCGGTGGAGTAGTGGTGAGAATGGCGAAGGAAAGCGATAAATGCTGACTGAGCCCGTGTAAGTACGTGACGTCTAGGGCGAGGTAGGGCTGAGTAGGAAGCACTAAATCAAGGATACTTGCAGTGGTTTCAATAATTCTTGTCGGTTGAGGTACTAGTTTGGGAAGGTGAAAGCAGAACAAAGGTCGTCGTGTGTCGTTTATACGCTGCATTTATCGTGTCAAGCTGATTATTTATGAAATCGACAGAAATATTGGGAGGGTGGTAGCATACTCCGGTAGTTCTACAGAAGCTCAGACAACCTCAAGATCTGTTACGTTAACAGCGTAAGACTTTTGTAAACAGCTACATTGAAATCTAATTATAACAGTCACATGTGCTGCAAAAATAGTTTGTTCTATTCAAAAATTCGTTATAAACATATATTTCCTGCTCTACCTATGACAGAGCCATCCCTCACTTTGTTCTATAATCTATAATTCGTTATATCCGAGTTCGTTATACCAAGGTTTGAGTGTAGGACGCCCCCACTCTGACGAGATGTGTGGTCACAGCGATAAGAGTACTGGGGTGAATCATTGATAGCTTAAGTGTTACGTATATTGAAATGAAACCAGGTTGCAGTAAGTGCTATGATCTGTGCATTACATGTGTAGGCTATTGAATGAAAGGAATCCCGCTCACCCATTATGCTTCTTACTTTAGCCAGAAGAAGAAATATGCACGGTGTAACCATGATTGCCAAGTGCAAAGTAACCATGGTTGCCAAGCTTTTATGATAGAAGAAATCATCTTAAAAACATATCTTTTCTTTGTGAATGAGCTATCTCTTTTACCTTTAAAATGCATTTTCCTCAAGATCCATTTTTGGGCAACTTCTTGAGCTTGGACAGCATGTTTTGGGTACATCTGATTGCTTGATCGATATAAAACTTTGCCCACATATTTTGTTGCTTTGAAGGGTGCAAGTATCTCTTTTAAAACTTGACATTGCCTGTATAACTATTAGCTAAAGTAAGCAATTAATATGGTCTAAGGATTCTGAGAATTTCATATTAGTACAAATTTTTTTGTCTATTAAAATGTCTCATATGTACTTCTATGATAGTTATTTGCATTCTCCAGTTATGGTAGAGTAGTATGGGCTTTTAATGGCTTAGGACGATAAGAGTTGAGTAGCATAAAATGAAAACTTTGCAACTTACTATAAAACTAATTACGTATTTGTAATCAACACAAAAGCCTATGTATATACAACAAAAATTTAATTCACCTAGGCTACAGACTAACGCAACTTTTTTTTTTTTGGAGTCGCATCTGCCCGTAATACTACTTGATAATAGGAAATAATGCACTGAGCCGGTGGCACCGTGCTGCAGGAGTGAACGAAAGGAATTGGCGAGCTCCTTACAGCAGAACACCCAAAAATGTGGAGCCATGTCAGATTGTTGGCGGTGCTTCACAATGCCGTGTATGATTGCTGCATTGTAAACTGTGCCATTAACTATTCACTGTAAGAGCTACGCTTCTCAAAAGCTTTTCTATTTTCCGCCGGGGTCATACTTGAGAGACCGGCGAAAACACGGGATTGTTTTATGCTGCGTGGAGCAAATGATCCTGCAGGCACGTTTATGAACTACGTATGCTCTAGCTATAAGTTCACTGTGAATTTACTTTCCGTGCTGCCAAAGGAATAGATTGGACTGTCAGCAAAGTGATCATGAGTCTGCAGTCAAGTCTTTGGCAGAAAGCTATTAACAGATGCAGCAATTCTCATTTGTACGCTGCTGCTGCGTTTCCATCGTATCTTGCAGTTCGTAAACAATATTAGTAAGAAATAAGTTTCACATGCCAGGCAAAATTTCTCGTGGACTACGAGAATTTTAAAAATTATTCCCACTGTATTGTCGTTGCCATTAACAGCTAGCATTGTTCTTGCAAGCGAAGCCATGTCACACCGTTTTATTGAGCTATGTGACAGCTGAGATATCACGCACAAAGCTGGCATGTTGCAAAGTTACTCAATGACTCATGCAGCCCTAGCAACATCTAAAAACGGAGCTAAACTACTGCACAGGAAACGTCGCCATGCAATACTAAGTGCAACCAAATCTGAGCACACGGGCCTACAGCATTTTCACCTTCATCGAAAATGCAGCTGGGATTCAATCCCGCGACCTACGCATCAGCAGCAGAGTTCTTAAGCTACTAGACCACTGCAGGGGGGGACAATGTGATTATACCACAGGAACTGTGGCATGGAAGGACCTTTGATGGAGAAATGCAACAGCTCTTAGTAATAAACACAGATCTTGGATGGCTTACTTTCGCTGTCTACATTGTCGTGATAGGTACCATTTTTGGAATACAGATCTCGAAAGCCATTTGCTCACGGCATTCTGAAAGTCGTCCTGGGTGTATTGGATTAAGCATGAGGTGCGATCATTATGCGTGCCAAAAAAATTAAATTTTGAAGACAAATTTCAGGTGCTTAGAAATTGAGCAGCTGCGTAGAATTCGAGGATTTAAAAGCAACTCACTGTGGATGTGCTGCTTGATCGGGTGTGGAATGACAGAAAAATTTGAAATTAGCTGTGGCATGGGAAGGCGGGCTGACAAGATATCTGTACGCTTGACAAAAGAAGCCTTGGCTATCCGAAAAAAAAAAAAAAAAAGTCTTTCGGGTGTCAGTATGCCACCACCAGTCCTCAAAAGGGCTTACTCGGGTAGGGCTGCTTGCTTGGAATTGTTAAATTGCAAGATTATTCAACCTTGCAGTTGATTACATGTAACTGTATGCAGTTGATTATATACAATTCTGCGGCATAGCCGTGTAATATTGAAATTATTATTTACATTTGAATGGCCTCAATGCTGCCTCTAGCAGCGATGGCGTAGTGGTTAGAGCATCCGCCTCGCATGCAAAAGGTCCGTGGTTCAAATCCCGGGGCCGCGCAGTTCTCAACCGAATAAAAAAAATCCGCGTGGTGATGGAACAACTGCATTACGAGGCCTGGGGTGCGGCCTCACCGGCAACCACCGCCGGGAACGCACTCCCTCACCAGAGAAGGATTGGCCACCCTGGTGCAGTATCTGGCCACTACCTCCCACATGCATACGTCAAATAACTCACGGCCCTCAGTCCGTGAGGGCCGTGACCACGGTGGCGGTCAGATCTGCAACGCAGCAGAGGGTGCTAAGAATCTCTGGATCCAGACAGGCCGCCATTAGAACCTGAACTTGGCAACGTTTAACGCTAGAACCTTATCTAGTGAGGGAAGTCTAGCTGTACTATTCGAGGAGCTAGAGGGTGTTAAATGGGATATAATAGGGCTCAGTGAGGTTAGGAGGACAGACGAGGCTTATACGGTGCTACAGAATGGGCACGTCCTTTGCTATAGGGGCTTGGCTGACAGAAGAGAACTGGGAGTGGGGTTCCTAATTCACAGAAACATAGCTGGCAACATGGAGGAATACTATAGCTATAATTAAAGAGTGGTAAATATTGTAATTAAACTGAATAAAAGATACAAGATGAAGGTGGTACAGGCTTACGCTCCTACATCCAG